TAAAACACATGGATTATATATAGTTTAATCTATTTTCAGCAAATCAATAAACAAGAAAATATTAAGCTCTCTATAGCTTGCTCTAATAGAGGAGATCTCTCTGGGCTTGAATCTCCTTTCTCCCCAGTATCAGACTGGCTTATGGGCAGGGTGTAACTGCTACTGAAACTAAGGTTGCCTCCATTACCTCAACCCACAGGAAAGCCATTTCAAATTCAAATTCATTATTGGCATTCCTGCATCAAAAAATATAAGGTAACCAGCCCTGGATTAATCTCAGGGTAGCTGCAGTCTGGAAGAAGTGCATAAAAGGTTTTTGTATTTTCCTTTTGCTTTTAAAGATACAGGGCCCACACTTAAGACACTACAAATAAAAGCACAATGAGATAGTTCAAAGTTCACTTCCAAATAAATAAAACTCCCATAATGCTAAAAAAAAAAAAAAAAAAAAAAGCACAATGAAAATAAAAAGTAGCCCTACTGATTTTCCATTAAGATACCAAGTCCATCTAAGGGAGAAAGGCAAAAAATTTTTTAACTATGTTGCTGGCACAACTAGATATCTCTATGAAGGGAAAATGAACCTAACTCCTACCTCCCATCTTTACAAAAAAATTAATTTGAGAGGGATCACAGACCTAAATGTAAAACCTGGAACAAGTATGCTTCAGAAAAGAAACAGAGAATATCTTTGCAACCCTAGGGATTGGCACAAAAAACACTAACCATAAAGTTAAAAACTGATAAAATGGACTTCATAACAATTAAAAATTTCTGCTCATCACATCATCAAGAAAATAAATAGAAAAGCCAAAGACCGGGTAAAAAATGTACATCTGAAAAGGACTTGTACTCACAATATATAAAGAACTCCTACAAACAACAGTTAAAAGATGAATCACCCAGTGAAAAAAATAGGCTACTTTAACAGATACTTTACCAGAGAAGTCAATTACTACATAGTGAAGTTCCTTCATTGTCCAAAAAACCCCACAAACAAACAAACAAATTAAGGAACACCTGGGTGGTTCAGTCAGTTAAGCAGCTGCCTTTGGCTCAGGTAATGATCCCAGCGTCCTGGGATGGATTCCTGCATAGGGTCCTTGCTTGGTGGGGAGCCTGCTTCTCTCTCTCCCTCTGCCTGCCGCTCCCTCTGCTTGTGCATGCATGCTCTTTCTCTGACAAGTAAATAAAGTCTTAAAAAAAAATACGAATTAAAACCACAACGAGGTACCATTTTACAACTTCTAATGTGGCTAAAATAAAGTCTGACAGCACTAAAATTCAGCAACATTAAAAAAATGTGAAGCAACTGGAACTCATATATAAACCACTTTGGAGAACTGTGTGGCAGTTTTTCAGTAAAGTTAAACATACATCTACCCTATGACTCAGTAATTCCACTCCTAGGTATTTATCAAGAAAAATGAAAACATCTATCCCCAAGAGATTTGTAAAGGAAATGTTCATAACAACTTTATTTCTAATAACCCAATCCTGGAAAAAACCCAAACATCCATCAAAAATAAAACAGATAAAGAGCTTAGGCTATATTCTTATAATGGAATACATTCTTCAATAAAAATGTACCAACTGAGGCACCTGGGTGGCTCAGTCTGTTAAACACTCAGGTCATGATCTCATGGTCCTGGGATCAAGGCCCCCCCCCCACCTCCAGCTAAGCCTTGAACTCCCTGCCAAACTCTGAGCTGAGTCTGCTTGTCCCTCTCCTCCCTCTGCCCCTCCCCCTGCTTATGCTCTCTCTGGCAAAATCTTTTTTTAAAAAAAGTACTAGCACACACAGATCAATCTCAAAAACATTATATAACACAAAAGAAGCCAGACACACAAAAAAGCATATACTACTGTACAACTCCATTTATGTCAAGTCCAAGACTAGGCAAAACAAATCTATGGTGTCAGAAACACGAGGCTGAAAGTGGTTGCTTTAGTGGAGGAGTGTGGGTGAGGAATAACCAGAAAGGGGCATGAGGGAACTTTCTATGGTGATAAAACTATTTTCTATCGTATTTTGCTATAAGTTACAGTGTATAAAGTTGTTAGAACTCCTTGAACTGGACACTCAACATATGTGCATTTTATTGAATGTTACTGATACCTCAATAAAAATACAAAGTAGCACTTTGCTTCAAGATACGTTAATCATTTTGTTTCAAATGAAATTCTAGAATATGACATAACAGACAACTACATTTTCAATTATTTGCCACTCTCAATTACTCACATCTCTATTCCTTCATTACTGCAAATACCCAAATGGATTACAGACACAACTATCAGAATATATGTTCACGTTTAATTTTCATAAATAGCAAATTTAGTTTGATCCTACACAATTTCAATAGGTACCTAACGGACCGTCAGAAGTCCAGTAGACTTTTCTGTTTTCTATAGTATTTTCCTCTCAATATGATATTATAGCTGTGATTTATAATTGTGTTGATCTGCTATAAAAATGAGATAAGTGGCGGCTCCTGGCTGTTTTGGTTGGTGGAACATGACTGGATCTTGGGGTTGCAGGGTATAGAGATTACTTAAAACAACAACAACAACAAAACCTTAAAAAAACAAACAAACGAAAAAGAATAAGTAAGACATATAAATCAAATGTCTTCAAGGAAAGTCACTGACAGAACAATAATGCTTTAGCTACTATGACAGCCTAGAAAATAATGCCCTCCTCAACTATTTTAATCAAGACAGAGCCCATATTTAAGAACAATTGAAAAGCAAAAAGCATGATGAATAGTTTGCCAGCTAATTGGAACCATAAAAAATAACAGCCTAAATAACAAGATTTACTATATTAGTAATATATATTAGTACATCCAACTGATACCTGAAAACCCACGAGGCCCTTTTCTCCTGTTTTACCAAGTCCTCTTTCATCTTTCTTTCTCATCTTTTCCTTTCCCTCTTTTGGTCTCCATCCCGGTATAGTTTAATCCCCACCGCCTCTCACTCTCCCTATGATATTGCTAATTGATTTTCATACAGCCAGCTCGCCCCAGGTTCCAAATAAATTTACAAAATTGTAGTGTATTCTATGTAGATTTGTCACATACTCAAAACTGTATAGAGAGTATAGCCTGAGGGCTACCTTCAGGTGAAGTTATTAACTGCAGAATAATTTGGCCTGGAGGGTATTCCACAAAACTTTAGTATTAGTCATAAAAACATGATTAAGAGAAATTGAGAACTGAGACAGTAACATTCTCAGGAAATCATTTTTGTTCCTTCAGGTCTACCACAGGACTTGGAATGACAAATGGGTCCAATGTTTCCTGAATAAATAAAATAAATGAATATTAAAAATCAGAGATATTTAGGGCTAGAATAATCTTGGGATCATCTGGTCTAATAACCTCATTTTATTTATTTATTTATTTATTTATTTATTTATTAAGTTTATTTGAGAGAAAGGGGAGAGCATGAGCGGGGGAGGGGCAGAGGGAGAAGCAGGCTCCCCACTGAGCAGGGCAGCAGAATGGGGGCTGGATCCCAGGACCCTGGAACCAGCACCCTAGCAAAAGCAGACCCTTAACCAACTGAGCCACTCAGGTGTCCCTAATAACAAACTCCAGACACCTGGCTAGCTGGGTAGAGCGCACGATTCTTGATCTCTGGGTTCTGAATTGGAGCCCCAGATGAGGAGCAGAGATTACTTATAAAAAAAAAAAAAAAAAAAAAAAAGATAAGCAAACAAGAAATCCTCACCAGAGGGAAAGTAAGGAAGCTTATAGAGTTAGAATATACTCGGTTTTGCATTTTAATTCTCTTTTTCTTTCCTAGAAATGAGTTAGAAAGGGGACTGTAAATATAATGACTTCGGACTCTGAAAGAAGGGGTAGGATAAAAGAAGCCAAAAACTAGAAGGAAGAGACTAGCAAAAGTAAATGAGGCCGGACAAAACTACTTTTCTAAGCCTAATATATTTTTTGACAGGCCAATTAATTAATCAAACTAATCCTCCAAAAAATTAATCTGAAGGATTCTCAGAAAAGGAAACATGAGCTGCATGAAAATGTTACAAACCAAGGGAGACCGCACAGAGCTAACTTAAATGTCCACAGGCTTATTTCCTGTGCAAGTATGACCTCCTGGGATAAGTTTTACTGCAGTGTTCATTACCAGACGACTTTTGGTTTTAAGAGAAGCACGTTGGAAATGCGATTCTTAACTAAACACTAAAAAAAAAAAAAAAAAAAAAAAAAAGAAAAAGAAAGAAAAAAGCTCTTTCCCATTTGTTTGTAATTAGATTGCAGGCTTGCAGAGGAAACACACCAACTTCATAAGCAGGAATCCAACGACCCAGTCACGTCCTCAAAACAAATCAACACACAAACTTCACAGCTGAATCCAGCTGTGCTGCACAGGAGCCAGGAATTTATTTTAAGGCAGAGGATATAGATCAAAAACGGCAAATCCAAGACAAGCCAGATTTAAACCCCCCTCCCCGCCCGCAAAAGGGTGTGACCTAAGGTTCGTGTTTTGTTTTTTTTTTTTCTTTCTCCTCTTTCTTTCTAACTTTCAACTAGCAGAAGCCTTTGAAGGAGTGTTGCTGAGAAAGCCTGTTTAAGAGGATCGCCCCTCAGCTACTCCTCCGTGGAGTAGAAGGGGCGGACAGGCACCGCGAGCTCGCACAGCTTCGGCAGGCGCGGACTCCGGCGGGAGGGGAAGGGGCCGGTCCCGAACCCGGGGAGGTTGGGCCCCCGAGTGATTCATCAGCAACCGGGGGTTCGCGCGCCTCCAGCGCGGGCGACGCCCAGCGCGCCCCACGGCCCCTACCCGGGCCCGTTCCCCCGCCTCAAGCAGCCCCCAATGTCTCCACGCTCCTCCCAAGAGACACCGGTAGGGTTAGGAAATCGGGGCTGGCGGCTGAAGGGCAGCAACCTCTCCCTCCTCAGCCACCATGGCCGGTGCGACTCCCTGCCTGCGCCCGCAGACGGACTTCCTGGAAAGCACCGGGCTAGGCTTACCTGACTGGCACCCGTTGGGGCCGCCGACCTTCACAGACCCGCGGGAAAGGCCTGTCCCTCGGTTCCCGGGACCCGCCCGTAAGCCCGCTTCTTTCTCCTTGGGAGTTGCCCGATCCAATCGCGGATGCCCCAACCCGACGGCTCTGTCTGTGCGGCTGGTTCCCCCTCCGCCACGGACGCGCGTGCGCACTCCCGGGTTGCGGGGCATCTTGGGAGTTGTAGTTCCGGCAAGGAGGGCGACGCTCTGAGCTGACCCTGGTTTTTGCAATTTGTAGGATGTTTGGAAGCAGCTGCGGATAGCAAGCCTTACTCCAGCGGGCGACAAGGATCTTTACTAGTGGAAATCTCTACCCTGGACCCTTTGGGAGCTATAAACAGCAACTCGAGGCTCTTTGGGATAGACTTCCTCTTTACTTTGACTTTTACTGAAGAGGCATACAAGGCAGGGCTTATATCCTACCCTTGCTTGCTAATGCAAGGACATGACATCGAGCCCTTTAAGCTCGTCGTGAAAAACTGATAGAAAAGTAAACAAAGGCGAAGTCACAAAAGGGGCATAAATCACGCAGATGTCATCTCAAGGGCGTAGTGACCCTAGGGATTTCCTTGGGCATGTACAAGGGATGATGTCTCAGCGATAGCCCCTATATACCCGGACAGTTTGGGCCGCAACCCATCTTCCCATTCCAGCCTCAAGCTCTACACCAGGTGGTGAAGCTGGGTTAGTATGAGTGGGAGAAAAAACCAGAAGTGCCGCTCAAAGAAGGGGACTGGGACAGATGGGTAGCCTATAAGGAAGGATGAGGAAAGTGGGAACACCTCAGAGGGCGGTGCTACGGTGGCCAATGAAGTGGCTGCCTTTTGTGCAGGGCTCTGTGGAGAGGGGACAGCAACAGCTTTCCGTTCATTGGTAGTTGCTCATTGGTAATTTTTCTGTCCTGCTCTTCATGACTAAACCTTTCCCAGGAGTCATGCTCGTCTTTGATACACCATCTTTGAAGAACGCAACCAAGAAGAGGACGAAGTGCCTGCTTGAGGTACATTCCAGCTACTCCTAGTGTGGAAACCGACTAATGGTTAATCCTCTCCTGTCATTTACGTGTTCCCTTCAGAGCAGGAAGCACCCTAGGTAAAGTAAACACCCTGGAATTTCATGCTAGTTGTATCCATTAATCCCTGAAATGAAAATCACTCGTGATTTGGAGTTTTTAAGGAAAAAAAAAAAAACTTGTAGGTTGCAAGCACTTTTAGAAGACCGTTGACATTAAATCTCATAGCCACTACACCTTATTTTCTGTAGCATTTTAGTGTTTATGGATTTCTCCAATATTCTTGGATATAGCAGCTTTCTGAGAGCAACTTCCTACAGAATTCAGTTTCAACTAATATTGAGTACTTAATCCACACCACGCACTGTACCAGCACATTTATAATATTTCATCCAATCCTCCAAATAACCCTACAAAGAATATATTTGTATCTTCCATTTCTACAGATGAGAAAGCTAAGACTCAGAAAAGTTAAGTAATTTGCACAAAGTCACACAATCATAATTGGGAGATCCAGAAATAAAGCACAGGTATCCTGATTCAAATTCTAGCATGCTTTCCACTGTTGATCAGACTGATGTATCTCCTAAACTCATCAAATTCTTGAAGGTAATATAATCTGTGACTGTATCCAATGTACATGAAAAGAATTCTCTCACACAGTCCAGGAACATTGTACTCTGACTGGATAAGAGATTCATTTGATCTGGATTCATTTGATAGTTCTATATTTCATTATATATTAATATATAGGAATTTTGGCTTACCAGCAAGTGTCCTATAAGTTCCTGTAACACCTCTGGGGCATCACTCCTGGGAAAACTGACAAAATTTCCTGAACAAGTTGAGTTCTTGAACAAGCAAAGCAGACTACAGCCGTCGAGATATAGTTTGTGTCTTTAGGCATGGAGGGCTTTTAATTCAGTATCTGATAATCTATGACATGTTTCCTCTCTTGTCTTCCAATATGGGGTGTTAAGAATACCTTCAATGTATTTTATCTTTCTCACTCTCCCTCTCTCTCTCTCTCTTTTTTTTTTTGAGAGAGAGAGAGAGAGCACACGTGTGCATGGGGAAGGTGTAGAGGGAGACAGAGAATCTCAAGCAAGCTCCACACTAAGCTGAGCACAAAGCCCCATACAGGGCTCAAACTCATAACCCTGAAATCATGACCTGAGCTGAAATCAACAGTTGAACACTTAACCAACTGAGCAACCCAGGTGCCCTTGTATTTTCTCTTTTAGATAAGTTACTCATTTAAAATTTTTCCCAACAAGTGTCTAACTCTTTTTCTAGTTGCTTTTTCTAAAATAATGTGATTCGGTGCTGGGTTTTTCCCCCTTTCCTCAGACAAATATTAACATATTATAACCACAGGGCTCACAGACATGAATCTCCTAACCCCATGTGATTTAAATATTACATATGAGTGGTGGGGGGGACACCTGGGTGGTACAGTCAGTGACTCTTGGTTTTGGCTCAGGTCTTGATCTCAGGATCATGAGATAGAACCCCGAGTGGTGCTCCACACTGAACACAGAGTCTGCTAAAGTTTCTCTCTCTCTCTCTCTCTCCCTCTGCCTCTCCCTGCCTTATGCTCTCTCTAAAGTAAAAAAATCTTTAAAAAATAATTTAAAAATACTACACATGGGACCAGTGGTGTTAACAATAATATCCTGGTGTTGAATAAGACTGTAAAAAATAGAACGTGCTTCCACTGCTGTGATTCTCCGCACTAACAGTTTCTGATTTAAAAACAAATGAGATCATGTCACCTTTCTGCTCCAAACCACTCATGGCCTCTCAATGCATTTTGAATAAATCCCCAAGTTACCACCCCTACAAGTTCTTATGTGACTTTTTTGTTTCCTACCATACTCTCTCACTCTGCTCCAGTTCCCTGGTTTCCTTGAGGTTTCTCCATATTGCCAAGTACATTCCCACCTCAAGATCTTTGCAGTACACAGGAGAATGCTTTTCCTTCCAAATACTCATGGCTCATGCCATCATTTTAATGAAGGTTCTGCTCAAGTGTCACCTCCTCTGGTCACCCTACCTTGCCTTCCTCTCCTTTCCTTACTGTCTTCGGAGCACTTGTCACTACCTAATATCATCTTGCTTGTATACTCAGTGTAAGCTCATGGAGGACTTTGTGTTGTTTACAACACATCTTTGCATCTGCTACAGTGCCTGACACAGGCTGGAGATTCAAAAAATATTTGTAAATATGAATATTGAATCCTTCCCTCCCCCTCCTCTTCTCAGTTGAGGACACAGAACAAGAGGGTTTGCCTGTAAATGTCAGCCAGTGACCTCATGCAGATATAAACACCAGCTGTGAGAGGGTTGGCTCCACAGGACAAGACACAGTGAAGCTCATCCTGAAATGGAGACAGAGCTCTCTTTTAAAAAAGACTATGCTTTGGGGCACCTGGATGGCTCAGTCACTAAGTGTCTGCCTTTGGCTCAGGATCCTGGGATCGAGCCCCGCATGGGGCTCCCTGCTCAGCGGAAAGCTTGCTTCTCCCTCTCCCACTCCTTCTGCTCGCATTCCCTCTCCTGCTCTCTTTCTCTCTGTCAAATAAATAAATAAAAATCTAAAAAATAAAAAGACTATGCTTTATGGGTTGTCATTACTAGCTTACGGTTAGCAAAATACATTCTTTTTTTTTTTAAAAGATTTTTAATTTATTTATTTGACAGACAGAGAGCACAAGTAGGCAGAGAGGCAGGCAGAGAGAGAGGAGGAAGCAGGCTCCCCGCAGAGCAGAGAGCCTGATGTAGGGCTCGATCCCAGGATCCTGGGATCATGACCCGAGCCAAAGGCAGAGGCTTTAACCCACTGAGCCACCCAGGCGCCCTAGCAAAACACATTCTTAAAAAGAGAAAAAGAAAAGGAAAACCCTACAAGTTAGATTGATATAAATAAGTGAAAAGATAAAGCCACTGAAGTCCTGTGGCAGATTGAGATATTTTCCCCAAATATTTGCTCTCCTCTACAGGACAGAACAGCCCTACCCACTGCTATGTGACTTGCAATGTCCTATAGACATTTTCAGGCTTGGCTATGATCTGGTAATATATTTTTCCTTCTTTCTTCACACAGATCTTGTTATACTGTAAACTCAAAGATTATATACATGGACCTTTTTTTGAGCCAATGAGATGTGAGTGGAAGGGACAACAGGACAGCTCTGAATAGAAGCTTTAAGAGTCATTGGTATTTCTGGGGTGCCTCAGTCAGTTAAGCATCTGCCTTGAGTTCAGATCATGATCCTGGGGTCCTGGGATCAAGCCCTGCATCAAGCTCTCTGCTCAGCGAGGAGTCTGCTTCTCCCTCTTCTCACTCTCCCTCTGTGTGAGCTCTCTCTCAAGTAAATAAATAAAATCTTAAAAAAAAATCACTGGTGTTTCCCACTAGTGTGCTTACTCTCTCTCTCCGGGAGGAGTGTGACATGTCCCAAATGGCAGTTGGTCCACCGGCCTGAGTTGTAGAATGAGAAGTCACATGGGGCAGCGCCTGAGACAGACACAGGTGCTGACATGTAATGTGCACAAGAAGTAAACTGAGATCCAGGTTTGTTTGTTCCTAGAGACTCACCCAGCAAGAGCTGACTGCTGCACTGCCTATTCAGTGAAAGGCAATAGAAACAGAAGAGGTATGGCAACCCTTCCCCATGCAGTGAATCCCACTTTGAATAATGGAAAATGGGAAGTTCAGCATACTGTCAAGAACAAATATGAGACTGTTAAGTAAAATACATGAATGAGGGACAGAGTATGGTTCCTATTAGTTTTTGGGGTTCGGTTAGAGTGAATGTGATTGTTAAAATGTCACTGTAACTCTACTTAATGTACTATAAGCCCTAATTACTGTTATATTTAAACTTCCAGCCAGGGGCACGGGGGTGGCTCAGTCGGTTAAGTGTCTATCACTGGCTCAGGTCATGATCCCAGGGTCCTGGGATCGAGCCCTGTATCGGGATCCC